GAGAAAACAGACTTGATGACAATTACCTGCGGAGTCCCTCAAGGATCAATTCTAGGACCGCTTTTATTTCTCATTTATATAAATGATTTGAGTAAATTTTCCAATATCTTAAATTCAATTTTATTTGCTGACGATACTAACGTATTTTATTGAAATAAAGATATTTATTTTTTATTTACAACAGTGAACGAGGAGCTTGTGAAACTAAGCGAATGGTTTATATCAAATAAATTGTCCATAAATATTAAAAAAACAAAATATACTTTCTTCCATCGTCTTCATGATAAAGATAACATACCCTTACAACTTCCTAAGCTTTTTATTAATAACTCTTATGTCAAAAGAGAGAGTTCTTTGTTGTTTCTAGGCGTTGTTTTAGATGAAAACGTAACATGGAAGGAGCACATACAAATAATCCAAAATAAAATTTCGAAAAATATAGGCCTTTTATACAAAGCAAAACAGTTGTTGAACCAAACTTGTTTGAAACTTATTTACTTTTCTTTTATTCATTGCTATCTAAGTTACGCTAACGTTGCTTGGTGCAGCACTAATGTATCTAAAAATAAAGGGCTTCTAATTAAACAAAAACACGCTCTAAGAATTATTGGAAATGTGAATCGCTTTTCGCACACTAAATTACTTTTTAATAAATTCAAAATACTTAACGTATTTCAACTTAACCTATATCATATTTTTATATTTATGTTCAAAGTAGATAATAAAATGGCACCCATTTTATTTAATTCATTTTTCGAAAAAATAAATCATTTATACCCAACTTGATTTTCAAACAACAATTATATTCAACCAAAAAAATATTATTCTGCGACTAGGTTCTCGATAGCAATCAGAGAACCTAAATTATGGAACACCCTATTGGATAATGAGTTTAAAAAAATTTCTTCCCTTGATCAATTTAAAAAAAAATAAAAAGTAAACTCTTGATAATTGACAATGAACTTGACTTCTTTTGAAACTTTTAAATAGGAGTAATCACTTGTTTTTTACTTTATTTAATTTATTTTTAACATATTAATTTTTGATTTTAATTTGAATTTTTACCTTCTTAAATTATCATGTTTTATCTCATTTTTATTTACTGTTAAAATTTGAAATCCTAATAAAAAAAAACTAAAAAAAAATATTAAATTTTAATGAAAAATATTTAGATATTTGTATTTATATATGTACCTTACGCATATATTATATTTTGATAACGGATTTTTTTTGGTTTTTTGGTTTTTTGTTTTGTTTGTTACTTGTATTCTTGTTTGAAGGGGCTTGGCGATAAGACTGAATTTGTCTTCTTCTTGCCCCAGCCGTGTATATACAGTTTTTAAAGTCTAATTTTGTAAATATTTTCTTTATGGCGAAGTATATATTATATTATTATATTATAAAATAGTTAAATTTATAAAAATAAGTAACATTTTCAAAAAAAAAAAAGTGTTGACGTCGTCTTTTCTGGACCTTTCCCCTCCCCCTTATCAACAGTTGTCAAAAAAATTCAGATCGCCCTCCCCCTATTTTGTTGACGTAATTAATGGACAGTCCCAAAGTACTGTTTGGTGGAATATCAAAAATTTTCGAAATCTCTTTGTTTGTTTTTCCTTTCTCCAATTGCAGTAGAACTTCGTATTTTTGCTTTAAGTTGTTTTCTTTTTGCAGTCTTTTTGATGCCATGATTTTTTTTTAAACGGAAGAAAACAATTCACACTAATTGTTTTTCAAATACTCAAAAAATTAAGTTAATGTTTTCAAGCTAAAAGATGAATTTTTTTTTATAACTTGAAAACAATAAAAAAAATTAAAATCTTAAAACTTTTTTATTAACTATTTAACACAAATAAGTTACATAAATTCATCGATTAATATGGCTCAGATGTAAAAGCATATCACTTTAGTTTATACTTCACAATGAAATATAGAGGTGTTTCGGATAGAATATTCTGTCAGAAATCCATGTCAGATTTGTATATTATTTGGTATCCGGCTGGTTATTTAAATAATCCCGTTGGTTATGTTAGATATTTCATGTTAACCAATAGTAAGAAAAAAATTTGTTTAACTATTGGTGCAGTCTTAAAGATACAGTCTTAGACCTTATCAATCCATTTGGTAACTAACATAACGAGAGAACCCTAAAACAAAAATTCTAAAGTGTTAATATTTTAAAATAATCTAATGTTAGTTGATTCAAAAAAATTTTTCAAGCTATATAGATCAAGTAAATAAGAATTAACTGTGCACAAGTATTACAGATTTTATCATTTATTTATAAATTTATTTTCACTATTAATAAACAATAGTGTTTCTCCGCGTTGAGGAAAAAGCCTTGTTTGCTTTTTCTTAATAATTTTTCTATATTCATAAAATCGAAAATGCAGAAGATGCTGGTGGTGATAATAATTTGAGGGCTAGTTCTTTAGCAATATATGATAACCAACCATAATCTTTATTTAATTAAAGCAATCATAATTTTATATTAATATATTTGCTTTGACTTTTCAATATTAATATCCCATATGTTTTTGATAAACACTTTTATTGAAATTAACTTTAAATGTGGAATGAAAAAGCAATAAAAGTTCAATTGACATGTTTTTTAATTTCACGCATTTTTTTTACAACTAGTGTCTTACCTTTTAAACAATCTTATGGAGTTAAAGAAGTCGAAGTTTCAATTTCAATTTCAATTTTTCTTTTTTAGGCACTGGAATTTTCAAAAGTTAAAAACCGCTGGTGCCTAATATAGAGTCTGGTACCTAATATAGAGTCTGGTACCTAATATAGAGTCTGGTGCCTAATATAGAGTCATTTTTATTATAAACTCGTTAATCAATTCACAGTCATTTATAATAAGTTTTTTAGGTAAACAATACTTTTACCAATATTTTTATCTATATTTGCGCAAGCAATTTATCAAATTTTGTACCAATAACAATAGATGTGCGTTGATCACTTTTAAAAAAACTTAACACTTAACTAAGTCAATGGAATGATTAGAATAATAATCCAATAGTTAATGCCATTAAAAACAAATTTTAAAATAGGGTAGACAGGGGCGACTTCGCCACTTTTGATGCTTTTATGTTGTTTGTTCAATCTAATACGCTTTTTTCGTATACCATTAATTGAATTATACTGTATTGTCTTTCTTGAGCCACTTTTTTTGTTTGTTTGAGAACTTCTTCATTTTACATTTCATTCTTCATGACATTTTCATTCTTGAATTGCCAAATGGAGGTTGGTATTACTATAGGATTTCTTTTTCTTTGGGAGATACTTGCGTACTATTTGAAACATTGGTAATATAGAGCGAGTTTTAGATTTTAGCACTTAGGGTAAAAATGCAACAAGATAATTATTACCGATTGGCATAATAACTATCTTTTTAAATATCGATACTTGGATTTTATATTGGTGTATTTTAAACATGCTGATCGATATAGTTTCAATTGGATTCAATTGGAAAAAATGACATTTTTAAATACAAAGTTTGAGGAGAATTTTAGAAAACCATTTATAAAATGTATATCTAAAAACTATTGATTTATTATATGTTTAAAATACTTCTAATAAATTTATCATTACTTTTTTAATACATTATTATTTATCATTACTATAATTCCTGATATATGTCCAATGATTTTATTTTTCATGATTTTATAAAATTTTATAATAATAAATATTAAAGCAAAAATATTGTAGATTATATATATCTTTTTTAACTGTGTGACTGTTTTATCATTGTAGCGAAATCACCCCACAATAATCTACTTGGACAAAAACCTATTTAAAATATATACCACAAACGCCAGTTAAATAGTTTTAACAAATTTATGAAGAAAATAATTACGTGAGCATGCACAGTTTTCCTTCAGTCAAATTTAAACTTTTATTATCTATGCTCACTTGATTATTTTTTTCTTTCCTTACCCGTTCCGGTAGAAAAATGGATGAGTGTAAACTCGCCTTTAGATCTTATTAAAAAGCAGAAGAACATTTAACAAGGTAGTTCTTCTGGTCTTCTAAATATTGCAAATGCGGTCTGAGCTGACAACGAATCTTCAAACTCTTGATTTTGAAACAAGCGCTACTGTGCCACAGCTTGTCTCTTTATAGATAGTACTGCAATACCTTGAACTAAACCTAAACTGATATTTGACCTTTAGTTGTTGCATCAAAATACCATACTTGAACTAAACCTAAAATGATATTTGACCTTTGGTTTTTGCATCAAAAACATCCTACAAAAATAAAACACCTGTCATTTTTAAATAATTTTTATCTTTGGTTTTTCTAGTATAGTTTTATTTAATTCAATATAATAATGTAATATATCAGGGTTTTAAGTTTTAACTTAATATGTCATAAAGAAGCTTAAATGATATTTCTTTAACAGCTACCTTGTATAATTAATAATGCTAAAGTTATTCAAATAATTTTAGCATTATCAATTATATCAAGGTAGTATTTTTCTTTAAAACTCTCTTTTGTTCTTTAAACTTTAATATAGTATGAAGTAAGCAATCCAAAAATAATTTTTTAATAACCCTAATACCACTTTGAGAGTTGTGTTTGTGTGTGTGTGTGTGTGTTTGGGAGTGTGTGTGTGTGTGTGTGTGTGTGTCATTTTGAGAAAAATAAAAAATATATAAATTAATAATAATATAAAGTAAGAATTCTTTAAAGAAAAACTAATTGTTTGTAAACGAACTTTTATTTTATTTCAATTTTATAATATATTATAATTTTTTAACGAATCAAATCGTTTTGTCATGCAGGTGTTCGAAAATATTTTTATGAAGTTAGCGAGTAAAATTTGAATTTTATTATAAAAGTTTGTTTAGCTTATATAGCTTTATAAAAATCAATATTTTATTTTACAATTTATATGGGTAAACAATCTAATTTCAATATTTTAATAGAAACTATGGAAATTAAACCGCAGTTTATTTGAAATTTGATATGTAACATTCCTAATAGAAATATATATACATTTTTTTTAATGCAAGGAATTAGTTTAGAATAGTTTTAAAGAGTAAAAAGAATGGAGGTTATACTAAGATCCATTTGTTATCGTACTTTAATGATAAGGTGTGCACGAAAATATAATAGTTTTAATAAGATCCTGACGTCTGAACAAGTAGAACAGGTTTTGATTTTTTTTTGTCAAATTATTTATAGATTTTTTTTAAGGATAAAATCCTAAAAAGCCGGTTAAAAAAGGTTTTCCGCTACATTATAATCCCGTAAAAACGTTTCTTTTTTCTTTAATTTATATAAGTTTAATAAAGAACTATTTTTTAAGCTCTAACTAAATTTTTAAGCTTTAATTAAAAAAAAAATTATTCTAATATTATATTTTATTTCCTGAAATTAAAGAATAGTTAGGTAGTTTCAAATTAAGGTAAGCAACAATAATTTGAATACTTCTTTTATTGTTTTGTCGAAAGCAAATAATAATAATAAAAAAAAAGAAAACAAACAAAAAAGCAATGTACTCCTTTTTGCTATATAAAAATATACCAGCGGAGCAAGAATCTCAATATTATGCGTAGTCAAAAACAATTTTGACTTACGAGCAAATATGTTTCAGCGGCCATAAAAAGATTAGAATTATATTTGTAAGAGCCAATTAATTTATTTTGACGTCAACATGAGGGCCACAAGTATAAATTCAAAAAAATAAATTATTCAATCTTAAATTTTTTTAATTAAACTTAGATAAACTATTGCACAAACATATTTAATGTGAAACTTTCCATTGTTTTACTTTGCATAAATTATCGGTGTCTGCTTTTATTCTGAATGCAAAGTTCGAAGAGCATCGGTAAGATTTTTTTATTTTAATTTATTAAGCTTCATTTTTAAGAAACACCTTAAGTGCTTCTAAAAAGTGAGTTTATTTCACTAGCGTGTCTGCACAACTATGAACAAACCTAAATGCCGGTGTATTATTTTTATAATTAAAACAGCTCATATTCTTTCAAGGCTACTATTAAATCTTTATTGTTTGTAATTCTAAAAATTTAAGTTTATCTTTAAAAGTCTCAGTTTTAAAAATAAGAAATTGTGTAAATAAATCAAACCCATTCTTTTCTACTTTAAAGTCTCGGAACCAAGTGTCAAGTTTATCAATTACTTTTAGACTCCAGGACCGACGACACAAGTTTCGAAGTATCGTCAAATTAAATATATTCATAAACAATTTGAAATTATTTATATTGTATTTTAAATAATCTATATAAACAAAAAAGATAAAAATGCCGCAAATAATCGAATAATTGTTGAGGCGCCGTTTCTACTCAATCTTTTCTATAAAAAAATAGAACTCTTTGTATGGAAGTTGTTTGTGTTAAAATATTGTTTTGAACTCGAGTTTATATAAGATGATTTTTTTAGAATGTCGGGGGCTTTTTAAAATTAATTTGTCATAGACTAAATTGACAATTTTTCTTTTTTGTTTTTTTGTTTCTTTATTTTATACTTTATTTCGAGTCGCTTTTAAGCTTGAAAAAATTCTTCGAAAATTTACTATTTTAAGTTATATGTTATTATGTAGAATTTATACATCAGTTTGCACAAAAGAGCGATGACTGGCTAGTTTCGAAAAAGTCGCGCAGTTACCGCTACTATTCCATTTTTATTAGATACTAGTTTAACTTTTAGGGGTTTCGACAGTAATCGAAACCACTAGAAGTTAACGAATGCATCTTTTGCTGATCGTTTCACTACTGCTACTAATTCCTCTTTTGTTGGCTTTATATCTACTGTTACTTCAGCAATCCTGAGTTTGCGATAGCATTATATATGTTTTATAAAGGTCTCATACTATATAAAACTTATTTTTCAAAGCCAAACGTTTCTTACTTTCTTTAACTTTCCGCATTACGTAGGCATTTGAAAACATTATATTTGAAAACTATACTTAGCTTCATACTATAAATGAACATTTTTAAATTGTAAATAACAGAAACGTGAGTTTACGAGAAACTTACGAGAAAAAATAGGAATTGATTTTACAATTTGTTGAGTAATTTAACTTCTATAGAAATGTTTTAAATGCATTTTGATTTATGTTACCGTAGATATACATCTCCCATATAAACGTTTGAATCTCCAAATGTTTAAAGTTTATTACCTTTTTTATTTAAAATGAGTTGAAATGCGAGCAATACAGCTACGAATATAGAATATTCGACCCCGTAAAGTAAATTTTTGAAACTCGATAAAAACATGCTACGTTGCTCTTTACAAGAGAGGTAGACATTACTACAGAATCTTGAAAAATTTCATTGTTAAGAGACAGATTGATTGTGATCATTTTCTTCAAAGTCCCCCTCCCTCCCAGTTTAAATAAGTTGTTTATGTCCATGCATTACGATTTAATTTTAAAAAGTTAGGTACATGAAAATAAACCCGTTATTTTTATGTATCTAACCCCTATAATACCTCCCCCAAAACAATATATTGTTAAAAACAACATTGCAATAGTTTTATGAATTTATTACATCAGCTGTAATCACATTTAATTTTGCACAAAAATCATTGTTTTTTATTTTTATCTTTTTCTAGTATAGAGAAGAGGGGTACACAGTTGTAAAGAATTTATTATCGGAGGAAGAACTGAAACAAACTCGAGTTGCTTTAGATGAACTTAAAGAAAGGTAAAGTGAAAATAGTTTGTTCATGTTTCAAACTGAAGGCCTTGAGTTTGAAACCAGTACAAACTATTTCTAACTTTTTAATTTTCCTTAAGGAAGAAGGGTAAAATTTTAATTCATAGTTTTTAATACTTTTGACAATAATAATATTATTCATTATCGTCATTATATATTGTAGTGCAAAAGGTTTACATTATTTTTAAATTAAGTACATTTAAAAGGTTCCATTTTTTCCTAAAACTTTTTTAAAAAATTTTATAAAAAAATGGAGAATAAAACTGTATAAAAGTATAAAAAATGTTAGAAAAAAACTAATATTTTATTATTTCATCATATTTTTCTAAATAAAACATTTTAATTATTTTTAAGAAATACCATTTTAAATAAAATTAAATGTTTTATAGATTATGCTTAAGAATAATGAAATTATCATGAAATTCGCAACTATATAAGGTTCCGCAAAATCCAATCTTTACTGTTAAAGGTTCTGCGAATTTTACTTTGCGAGGTTCTGCCAAATTCACATTAGGCCGGGTGAAATAAGCCGGGTAAAAATAAGCAATTACTTTTTTTTTATTCACGTAAAGTTACGCAATTTACTCAGTAATTGCTCAGCTATACGCGAATAAAAACTTAAGAAAAATGGTTTATGTTTTTATTCACATAAAGCTGACCAATTAGTGAGTAAAAGCGATTGCTCATTTTTAATCACCCGGCCTATTATTAAACTTCTTTTAAAAAGAAGTTTAATAATAGGCCGGGTGATTAAAAATTCTTTTTTTTTATTAAAACATGCGAAAAGGTTTTTATGAGAAAAACTTTGCAAAAAGCTAAAAAAAATTGAAGGCTTAAATTGAGATTTTATTAAGATTTGGTTTTGGTACACAGGGCCGACGACACCGGTTTCGAAGTGGGGGAGGGGAGAAGCATAATTGTAAATTAAAAAAAAATCTTGTATATCTAAAATTATCTCAAAAAAAAAGTTGTTTAGATAAAAAGTGGGGGTGGGGGGTGAGGGTTTACGTGCCGTTCGCCCATCCCGGTATTGTCGGCCCTGGTACACATGTTTTTTATGAAAGGAAGTGTTTTTTTAAGTCGCTCGTAAATATATATTTTTTAAATAAAGTTATGCGCATAAGCTTTTATTTAGCTTTTATAAAATAAAAATACTAAAAAAGAAATTCATGAAAACAAATTTAGAAAGTTTGAATAGACGATATTAGAAATTAATTTTATAAGGCGAGAAAATTTTTTTCCGTGCGTTAAAACAAATGTATATATATATATATATATATATATATATATATATATATATATATATATATATATATATATATATATATATAATATATATATATATATATATATATATATATATATATATATATATATATATATATATATATATATATATATATATATATATATATATATATATATTTATATATATATATATATCTACTTTTTAAGTTTGGTTGAGTGATTAGAACAACCAATGACAACCAAAGAAAGTGATGTAGCATATTAAGAAAAAATTAAACTAATATAAACAAAATCCGCTGTTACTTCTTATGCTGTTTGTTTATTTGGTAATCCTACAGTTACGCGGCCTAAAATAATTTTTATTTTTCCGCTTGTCAGTAGAGGCCTTACAAGCAATAGGAATATAATTGAAATAATAAAATAAAAAAGATTGCTTCCCCATGCCAAACCCTCAGTCGATGTAGCAGCACTACCTTGTAGCAGCAGGCTATAAGATAGTTGATGTAGCAGCACTCCGTTTCGAGTCAGGCTATAAGATAGTCGATGTAGCAAAACCCCCTGGCAAAAATATAATTATTTTAGGCCGCGTAACCGTTTATTTTATTTATTCTATATCTACTTTTTTGTGTAAAATACGCACGAAAGATTCAAGTTTCTTATTATTCCGGAATTTAAAAAATTTCGAATATCGTCTGAAAAATTTCGTCTATCGAAATCAAATGAAAACTATCACTACTTGAAAACTCTGAAAAATATTAAGAAGAGAATTTTTAAGAGAATTCTCAAAAAGACATTTTTTCACATGATACGTTACAAAAAAAAATCTAATAAAAAAGTTATTACAAAAACTGCATTTTGTGTTGAAGAAAACAATCGCGATATCGAAAAGGTTAAATGAAAAGAATGGAAGAATAGTAGAAGAAAAATTGGAATGGAGGGAATACCGGAAAGTGATTCTAAAAGTTGAAATAAATTTATAAACAAAACGTTAAGTATTTTTAAAAACTAAATTAAAGTAGTGTAATTATTGAAAGCAGAGCAAATATTTGGTAGAAGAAAGAATTAAAAATTTTGTTCTACTTTCAGTGTAAACAAAATTACTTGCCTATCCTTTTGGTAAAAAGTTTTTTTCAACCAATAGTGTTGGTGATAAACGTTGAAGTTTATCTTATCGTTTTTTCTTACGTTCATTTTTCTCAGATATTTCTGGTCTAGCCTGGTACTGCTTTTACATCTTTCTCATTTTTTTGTTAACCAGTTTACCACTTTTCTTTTTTTTCTTAAATGCAACTTTGGAAGAAGGTTTATTGAATGCTCTAATCATATACACTTGGTAAATTGCTAATATTTTTTCCAGCTTCGTGAAGTATCCATGAGTTGATTGCTGCATTAAATGCAGTATAAAAACGCCCATAATACCTATATCCAGTGTTTGCAACTTGTTATGTGTTGTGTTGCTAAAGTCAAAATGATTACTCCATTCTCCTTTGCTTTATTTATGACTACTATGCACAAGTTAACTTTGCAATTGTCATATTTTAGTAACGATTGATTTACTTTAGTGTTGTATAAAAGTTTTGCAAAATGATTCATAACAAAAAATAGTTCTATAAAAAAAAAAATTAAATTATTAAAAAAAAGTTTCTTTTGAAAATGTCGGGTTCCATTTACAAATGTCATTGGTTTTGCAAAAAGTTCTTTCATTTTATAAAAGTATAATTTATTGGCATTGAATAATGTTGCCCCTAGAAAGAGAGCACCTTTCTCTGCATTAAAAAGGCTACATTCTAGCTACGGAACCAATGATTCAATCCTACCCGTGACTCACTTCTACCCATCCTCTACATTTTTTTTTGTTTAAAAAATTTTAATTTAACATTTTTGTATAAAAGTTGTGGTTTTTAAATTAATACTTTATCTTTTTCTATACCACAAAGGAGATAAATGAAAGACAATTTTGCTCTAACAACAACATTGTAAAATGTGTACATGCTGACAAAATAAAATAGTTAGATACTTAATAATTGGTTTCGGAAACTAAGTTTGATAATTGTGCAAGCAACCTTTGATTTCAATGATCTTCATTTTTTTTAATAATATTCAAAATATCTGCAAAAAAAAAAAAAGATGTTTTAGTACTAAACTTTGTTACTAGTCTATTAATTTATATTAATTCGAAAAAAAGTTTTACAAATCTCAAGGACCTGTTGTTAATCTTTTAAAACTTATTGATAAAAGTTATTTATTTTAGATCAGTAAAATCGTTTCAAGCAGGTGTAAAAAGTGATCTTTATGAAGTTGAACAAGGTTCAGATGGGAAACAAATATTAAATCGTATTAGATTTCCGTGCGAATTACATGAAACATTTTATAATCTACAACGACACGATAAAATTTTGGATTGCGTTGAGGATTTAGTTAATATTTTAATTTTAATTTATTTTCGAAATTGAAACACCCTGAAAAAAAAAATTACGTTGTCTAATGGCTGCTAAACTAAATTTTTAATCTAGATTGGTCCATCCTTTCGATATATTGCACAAGACAAACTAAATTTAAAACCTGCATGCACTGGAGCTGCAGTTCGATGGCATCAAGACTGGGCTTTTTTCCCTCATACAAATGACAGTGTTCTTACGGCAAGCATATTGTTGCACGACACAACAAGATCAAACGGTAACAAAATATTATCATAATCAACGTTAGTTTAAACTCAAAATTTTTTTGACATGAATCAAAATTTTAAACGTTGAATTTATAAAAATAAGCAGAAATTGGTTATTTACAGTATAGTTAATTAGGTTATTTAAAGTAGAGTTACTAGGGTATATAATTATTGTACGTATGACACGCAATAAACACTTAAACATCTAGTATTGGTTTATTTTTTTATTTTGTACATAAGTATAATTTTAGTTTTATAGAGATAAAACCAAAATTGACTTTTTTTTTTTTTTTTTTAACTTACTTTAACAAGACTGACTTTAACTGACTTACGTACAAGATAAAAAATTACTCCAGGTTAAAGATCTTTTAGCCAGTCGTATCTCTAACTTTGGCTCTATTTATTACCCAGTTAACACACAACTACTAAAATATGTGTAAAAGACATCTAAAAACGTTTATACGTCTAAACAACGTTGTTTATACGTCTTTAAAACGTCGTTTGCTTACAAGAATTTGCTCTTATTAAAAAATATTTTATATTGTAAATTTATTTAATATATATTTATAAAAATTTTATTTAAATTAATTATTCAATTTATTTTCCGTATGAATTGTTCTAACTTTATCTACTATGACAAATTTCCAAAATATATATTAAAGTTGAATTTTTTTAATATTAAAAAGTATTTAATATTGAGAAGTACTTACTTCTTATTTCTAATTTCGCGAAGTTAGAATTATCTTGTTCTATCTCCACTTTCTGAAAAAATTGAGTTAATGATAGTGTTGTGTTCCTCAAAATAATGTCTTTCTACTGAATTGAAACCTAAGTTATAAGTAAAAAAGTTACGGAAAAAACAAAAGTTATAAAAGAGAATGTATACGCCGTCTCCTAAAGTTTTTGTTTTTTAAATTGTTTTATCTCAAAACTAAAAAATGTGGAGATTAAACAAGATAATTCTAACGTCGCGATTTGGTAGAAAAATGTTTGACCAAAGTGTTTAATAATCCTATGATGATATTCGAATCACCAGCTTTTGATGTACAGTGGTACAACATTCGAATCACGATCTAGTAATAAATCGCCAGGATGATTTTAGTCAACAATATTCTAATAACAGATGAGGGTATTTCGGACCACCGTATAACAAAAATTGCACTTTATCAACAACCTTTAAATAGTAAAGTTCTTTGGTTTTCAAAACAAAATATAAAAAAAAAAATAAACTTATCATGTTTTCTAAAAGAATTGCAAGTGGTGTCATGTTGGTTATCACCAATTATGCTGATCAAATAAGAACAAATATTTTTTATTTTTTCGAATAGAGCTAAATTTTAAACGATTAGAATTTAGCTCCCATCAAAATTAGAAAAAAATTGGAATATATCGGAGTTATCTTCTGATGTTAAGATTAAAAAAACCAAACGTTGTAAACTGGAGCTTCGTTATGAAAAAACTAGTAAATTGTTAGGTGAAAAACTATATCTAATTTAAAAGACAAAAAAAGAAAAAAATGAAAGAAACGTGCTGGTTACAATGGCATACAATGTGCTAATTGCGCGTATTAAAAATAAATTTGGTTGTACTAAAGTAGATGACATCTTGAAAATCTTTTGTTTCTATTGGATAACAAAATTTATATATATATATGATTTATATAGCAACAACAAAATTTATATATATATAAATACCACAGGGTAGTGTAACTTGATGCAGAACATTATCAATATACCGATGATACCCAACTGTATACTATCATCAGCCCAAGCCAAGATGATATTAACAAAATCAATAATTGTGCTAATACGCTCACAAAAATGGTTTCTGGAAAATAGACTTCTGTCTAACCCAAAAAAACAAAAACTGTTTACTTTGGATCTAGAAAACAAACTGAAAAATATGAAAATGATTAAAAAAAAAGTATACATTAACATTTTTTGTAAAAACACTAACTGGAAGTTCGGTAAAAAATCCACGAGCACGAAATGAAACGGACGAGGACGACATAAAAACATTTATAAATCCTGCAACCATCATTTTGGTGTTTTTCCACACATCCGCTTTTGTTTTACCAAAGAAACAGCTAGCACAATTGATGGATTATTAACTTGAAACTTACCTATCGTAACAGCTTTTTATCAGGTACTTACCAAAACAATCCTAAAAAATTCCAACGTATTCAAAATAACTTATTTTACATTTGTTCTCATTCTCCTTACCATTAATAATCAAAAAAATTAAGTATATCTCTTTTTTGATTACTCTTGGTTTTGCCAGTGTCTTTATTGCATATAACATATAAAAGTTTAGTAGCTTTTTTTTTAGTAAAAACTCCTAAATTTTTATAATTTTTCTTCATGTGAACTGAATGCGCCACAGACAGTGATGAATAGTTTTAACGTAAAAGGAAAACTTATGAGTTCTTAGATAAGTCTTCATACTTTAATTAAAAAATCATTTAAGTGATTCTTTGGAAATAACTGAAGTTTTTAAATTTTTGGGAAAATAATAAAAATCATCACCTTTTTCAGATTCATTTTTATTTGGCTGATCAGGTAAAACTGAAGTTTTACCTGATCAGAGGTAAAACTGAAGTTTTAACTGATTCAAATGAATATATATATATATATATATATATATATATATATATATATATATATATATATATATATATATATATATATATATATATATATATATATATATATATATATATATATATATATATATATATATATATATATATATATATATATATATAGTGCTTCCAATACGATACCATTTTTCAATACCGGTATATCGGTACTAAATAAATACAATACCGGTTATACCGGTATAATACCGGTATTAAACTTTATTTTTAAATTTATCATAATCTAAATAAAATCTCAAGTTAATAGTAAAAATTTTATTGATTCAATCAGCTTATTTATTTTATATTAAAACTACTGACTTTTTCATTTTTCGCTTTTTTCTGCTTTGTAAAATGAGCCCGTAAAAAACATAGGGCGTTCAAAACATCATCTTCAAAAGATCATCTAATTTTGTTGGCTTCACAGTTTTCAAGTAATGGTAGGAATTTTGCAAATATATACAACGATTTCCTCCTTCTTCAAAAATTCCTATTTCAATACATATAATTTTTGATGAATTATTCGAAACATTCAATTTTCCCTTGTTGTTACATTTCTTATTTTTCAGAATTGCAAAGTCAAGCTTTTTTTTCAATGACAAGTTTACAGCGTTGTCCACAGAATCTCCGGCGAAATAAAATTTTCACAACGGTGCGCACCTTTTTGATTAACGGCTGCAAATCATCAGTCAGTTCAATAGAGTCATTCTCTTCACTCATTACAACTTGAAACCCGCCGGAAAAGTCTTCATCATTATTGGTTATGTTTGTGTCATCAGTATTTCCTCGTCACTTTCTCTGTTATTGCATATTACTTTCAAATTTTTTTTGCAGAAATTGACGATTTTTTTGTACAAAATACCTTGAATACCTAGTTGAATCCCATGCCTAATGCACAACTGTTGATCACAGTTACTTAAACGCCCCACTTTCTACATTACCGAAACTTTTTATATTTACGTTAGTGCAAAATTCAAACATGCGTTCTACATTAAAGCGAGTGACGTAATGATAATATTTTAAATTGGTGCTTCATTATTTAATGAAAACACAAAAGTAAATAGAATACTTAAAACTTCTAGTCACGATCAAACAACGCTTCCGGTAAGAAAAAGATAGCTAGATGACAAAAGACGTGTTTAAATCGTCTAAAACAAGTATTCTACGTATTTTATACGTCTTAAACGCTAGCTGTTCGCTGGCTAGTTGCTAGCTCATTTCCTACCAAACCTAGTGGGAAATGAGCTGGCAACTAGATATTAAGTATAAAGTACGTAGAATACTTGTTTTAGACAATTTAAACACGTCTTTTCTCATCTAGCTATCTTTTTCCTACCGGAAGCGTTGTTGAAAGTTTTAAGTATTTCATTTACTTTAGTGTTTCACGTAAAGAGGGCGATAGCACCTGCTATATCATAAGCCCTCTACATATATTTTTAATACCGGTTTGAGCCAAATCAATACCGGTATTTCGGTACTTAAAAATGTCCGGTAATACCGGTATTCCGGTACCGGTACTACCGGTATTGGAAGCACTACATAGAACACTAAAATGAGATTTTTTTGCCTGAAAGTTAACACCAATTTACTTACGGGTACCTGTTGAGCAAACCAGTCATATTTGCACAACTTAATTTGTTTATACCCAACTAAATCCTGTGCGTGTTTAATCAATAAGCAAAAATAAATGTACACATCATATTAGACAAAAGTTGCAACATATTAGATAAAAATTACAACATATTACATAAAAAAAAACAATTTTATTTGTTTTGATATACAAACAATTGTATTTCATAATTTTAAAAATTGGTGGGTAGTACAACTTTTTCTTTACGAGTTTTTTACTCAGCTACCAAAATCCCAAAATATAAAAATCAAAGAAAATTATTTAAAAATTTTTTTATCGTTGGTCTGTCCTGTTTGAAATATGTTATTATATAAGTATAAAAAATGCATTTGATAAGCAATTGTTTTTACTTATCATTTTTTTACATATATGTATTTCGCCGTTTGACAATAATTACAATAACAAAATAAATAAATAAAAATTTACGTAACAGGAGCAAAAAGAAGACTAATGTTGTCTTATCACTAAGCCCCGTAATGTATACCATACATAGCATAGCTTTTAACAACCGCAAGATAATACAAAATCTCTTAAATACCAATAAAATTTTCTTAAAAATTATATTTTAAATAAGGAAAGATAGAGAAAAAAAAAATGATTAAAAAAAAAATATTAAAAAAAAACATTTAGATAACAAAAACAAAAAGATAAAAAGTGTTTTTTATATATATATATTTTTAGAAACTTTGTTCTTAATTACATTTATATGTTCTCTCCTAATAATATTTTCATCTAGAATTACGCCCAAAAAGTTTAAAGATATTTCCCTTTTTCTTAATATATTATCAATAAAAAGATTCGATAGCTTCAATGGAATATTTTCTTTTATTAGCATGATGGAATGTGTATTTGGTCTTAATAATGTTTTGGGATAGTTTTTTGAATTTAAACCATTGGCTTAGTTTATCAAGTTCTTTGTTTACTGTTAAAAATATAATATTAATATCTTCATTGGAATAAAACAAGTTAGTATCATCGACAAATAAAACTGAGTTTAAGATATTAGAAAACTTATTTAAATCATTAGTATAAACTAGAAACAAGAGGGGCCCTAGTATTGAACCCTGGAGAACCCCGCATGTGATCATTATTTGAAACAACACATGGTAACTTTATCATTATTTGAAACAACACATGCTAACTTTAACATTATTTGAAACAACACATGCTAACTTTATCAATAAAAAAAGAATTTTGGCTTCTTATTTTTATTTGTAGCTTATTTGTTTCTGTTATAACTAAGATATTTCTAAAACATATCTCGAACAAATCTATCATAAAAAAATATATATAAAATAAAGTATTTTATAATTGTAATTTTGTTTAATTAAAAAAATAATGTTTTATTAATGTTTATCTAAACTTATAGGATGTCTTCAAATTGTTCCTGGAACACACAAAGGACCAATCCTCTCTCACTACTTCAACAATACGTTTGCAAATGTTATAACTGATAAAAAATTTAAACCAAGCAATGTAGTTTTCCTTGAAGCACCCGCTGGAAGTTTAACATTACACAACGCCCGTGTGGTGCATGGCTCTGCAAAAAATACCTCAAACCAACCAAGAAGCACTTTGTGCTTTGTTTTTACTGCTATGGATGCATGGCCTTTACTAGGTGTGGGAGGCAGAGATTTTATGAACAGTGGTCCGGTAGACTATGACTTGTTCACTGCAACTCTTTTAAGGGGTAATCCGTGCTTCACACCAAGAATGGAAAATATTCCAGTCAGTCTTCCGATTCCCTTTCACGCTACGTCGTCAGTGTTTAAAATAGAGTTCGAAACTGCTGATGAACCAGCTCCTTAAATAATATAATTACATAAAATCAACATTATTGATAATGTAGTGAAATGATATATATATATATATATATATATATATATATATATATATATATATATATATATATATATATATATATATATATATATATATATATATATATATATATATATATATAAACTAATGCTATGTAGTTTTGAATAAGCTAAAGTTTAGCTTTTAAATTTTTTTAAAATCAAACAAATATAACTAATCATATTTTTTTTTATTTATTGAAGAACTTTAATTCCTATTACTAAGTTATTACCTTGGCGTAACTAGAGGGAGCACAAAGACGCCATCCAAGGACCAAATGCCAGCGGGGAATTTATTGAGCTGTAAAGTTACACTTTTTATTGTATTTTTTTATTATTATTGATATAACAAACTAAAACTCTAAACTTAAGGGACAAAAAATCAAACTTTTTTTTTATGTGTGTTTCGTATAAGATATTAACAAATCTAAATTATGCTTCCAACACTAAAAAAAAGCCTTTAAATCGAAACAAAGCGGCCACGTTTTAAGGTAATCTGAAATTCAAATTGTAAGGTTTTAGATCAAATTACGATTTAAGACATTGGAGGCAGTAGTTTTTAAAAAAATTTACGACAATTTACGACATTGGAGGCAGTAGTTTTTAAAAAAAATTTTAAACCCAATGAACTAATGTAATCATTTTTATCAAAAATGATATCACAGAAACAAATAAAATAAAAAATTTACTGTATTTGATGAGTTGTATGTTACTGCTCATCAAATGCAGTTTTATGGAGTGCAATTTTTCAGATGTAAACACAGCAATAGTGCTAGTGCTGACAATACCTGTGACAGATGCTAGTTTAGCAAATTTGTAGTTATGTCTCTGCTGTATGCAATGCCAATTCATAAACAGGTGTGTAATATTTGCGATAATACATGTCAAAACAAAGAGACAATTTTTTTTTGTATTTCAAGGTTTGGTAAGTAAGTTATGAAACTTTATTCATTTTTATCAGTTAAACACACTTTTGACATCCCAATAAACACATGATCGTCTATTAAACGTCAAACCAGCTTTTAGGTTTGGTCGAGTATCGTTTCAAAATAAAATCCAGAACAACGTTTAGAACCAACTTTCATTAAACGTCAAGATTCAAACGAATCTTTGAAGTCTAAAATAGGACTATTAAACATAGAGAAAGTGTTTTGATTTTGTTCTTTTAAACCTTTAGATTTAAACCTTTAGATTAAGCCCTTCTAAACGCATTTAATGCGTTTAGTCTTTTTACATACAGTGCACATGTAGTGTTGCACATGTAGTGTTGGACAAAATAATACTAAGTGTTTGGAAAAATAAATATTTATAATTAAAATCTTGTTTATAATATTTTTTTACATAATTATGGTAGAAATTTTGAATAAAAAAATTATAACATTAGTTGATAGCATTAATTTGTAGTTTTAACGCAATGTTTAAGTTTAGATTGTTTGCAATAAAATATATTTATTAATTGAAAATTTTAATTTGATTTAAGCAGAAATTATTGGATTTGGGAAGCATTGCAATAAAGAAAACAAAACTGATTATTTAATTAAAGTAAGAGGGGAAAACATTAACTTACTTAAAAAACATTAAATTGTTCTTCTATAAAGATAAGGTTTTTCTATAAAGTCCAAGGAAAGTTCCTGTTTTGAAATAAAAAGCACATTGTAGCAAAAATGTTTTTTGCAAAAGCACATGAAAATTGACCTAACTTCAAAATGGTGTAATATTTTGTGGTCTAATCAAATCAAAGACCACCTAACTCTTTCCATAAACCTCAGTACACTATAAAAGCTGTTAAACATGGTAGATCAAAAATAAATATTTGAAGTTAATTTTCCTTTGATGACGTAGGGCTCGTCTATAAGATTTATGGAATTATGGATCAATATTTTTATCTGAAAAGTTTACAAAACTCCACGATGCCAATGCAGAAGAAGATATACCGCTAAAATGGGTTTTCATGCAAAGCGACGACTCTAAACGTAGCAGTCGCAGGATAAAAAACTGGTTTGTGGAGGAGGGATTTATGTTAAATAAACATGAACATTAGTTTGAAATCCTTTTCACAAAGTTTCATTAGTTCATTAATACAAGTCTTAAAAAAAATTTTTTTGTAACATTATCAGTGACAAGAAAATTACTTAACAATGAGGATACTAGCATTACATTCAAAATTTGGAAAGATTGAGCTTTAAAATAAATAGATTAGGTTTTTATTGGAAAATCTAATTAGTTACAGCTGGCCAGTTATTCACAATAGAACTTGATGAGGAGCAAATCTCATTTAATGGTAAAACTGAGTAGTCCCCAAGAAGGGATTGAAGGTTCTTCTATAATATTATGTTAATTTCTTTGTCATTGCCAAGGCTGTAATTGTTTTTTGCAAAATAGGTAAAGGATTTTCATTTACGCAAACGTTTTCCTCTATAATGAATTTAAAATTGTTATCTTCATTCTTTTTTAAACGGCTGAACAAGAAATTAATGACCATACTACTTTTAGTAGTATGTTGCCATACTAATTTTAGTTGTATGGCAACATACTAATAAAAGTAAATGTTGTCAAATCTGAAGTTCCATACTACTGCATCATTGTTTTAGGCGGTTCTCAATTTCTTGTTCAGCCGTTTAAAAAATAATGAAGAATTGTCGTATCTAAACCATAAAGCATAGTAAAACACTAATTAAGCTTGAGTGCATTGGACATGCGCAGAAACGCTTAAGAACCCAATTACATAACCTTGCTAAATCTCACAAGGATATAAAAAATCCATTTCTGGATAAGGTCAACTTACTAAATGTAAGTTGATAAATGCATTGATTACTTAATAAATACATTGATTGCATAAAAAAATGTTATTTATAGCAATGAGATCAAACCACTCCCATGTTTAGGCTATGAAAAATGATCCGCTCGTCACAAATTCAGTGTCACAATTTCCGATGAAGTGTCACAAATTCCGTGTCACAATTTCACAATGAAGTGTCACAAATTCCGCCCTCGAGATATCAAGAGTTGGTGCAAGTACAAGAACCACAAGAATTACAAATCCTCCCATACAATCCCTCTTGGGATAAAAATTCTACTTGAACCAATTTTTAAAAATTTAATGATTTATGATTTGTTCAACAAATATTTTTATCAAAATATCTTGAACTCAAATGTATTCGTTGGCAAGGAAACTATAGAAATCGTAGAAAGGGGCGCAAATTCAGCTATTATCCATTTTAATGATGGACGCAATAGGGTATTGAAAATTATAGAACAATTTAGAATCAATTATGTAAAAAAAAAATCTCGAAAGCTGTGGCAATAAATTTAGACAATTAGGCAAAAGGAGAAGAAATCCAAAGATACAGAGAAAAAGTGTAATTGCTTTTCTACTTGTTCGGATTGCGAGCTAGTAGAAAATTATAATAAATAGTAACTTTTATTAAAAAAGTGCTTTCTTTAATAAATAACTTATTTTATTTTTATTTTGCGTTATTCTCTGCTATCAATTTTTGAATAATTGTTGTAAATCAAAAGATGATATTCAAAGTTCGACTTGAAAAAACATGATATTATGAGCATTTGACTTGAAACTTTGAAAGTGTGCTTATGTTGTTTTAAGACTTTAGATTTTATCTAAAACAATGAAAATTAAATTATAATTCAGTTAAAAGTGCAAATTTGCATTAGCTTTTATATAAAAAAAATGATTTAATAATTTAAAATATAAATACTTTAATAAAATAATTCAAAATACAAATACTCTTTTGATAATATGATTTATGCCGATTCTATCAGTCATCCGAAACATAATGTATGACTTAATGTTATACTTGTGTGCAAAAAAGTTTTCAATTTGGCGTTTTTTTTTTAATTAGTTATGATGTTTCAAAAACTTTTAACGGTAAAATCTCACACATTTTCCGCCAGTATGAACTTTTTTTTATAAAAATTTTTTCCAACAGGAAATCTATAATGGCGGAAAATTTAATTAAAAAATTAATTTTAATGAAAACTGCATCAATTTGTGTATTTAGCAATTTTAATCAACTAAAAAGAGTTACAATTAAAAATTTAGGAAAATATTTTGTATCCTTACCTATCATAATATTACAAATTGTTAATGATCATTATCATCTCATTTTTTACAAAATGGTCTTTTTTTAAAAAATTTTCATACGGGGTTTGAGACTTTATTAGTCATGGGCCTTCGCGCTGTTCCGGGCCCGTTGCTATGCTACTATCATACGTTGCTATGCTATACTATCTAATAATCGTCGAAAATACCATTCTTTTGATTCGATTCCTTGTATTCTTTTTTGTTTTTAAACTAACTGGATACACCAACTATATAAACTTTACATACAACAATAAAGGTTAGAAATTTTAAAAAACGGAAAACATTTTAATGCATGCTTTAACCTTTAAATTATTATCACGTTTTTATTTTTCATTTTTCATCATTTGAAAAATGGGAAAGGTTTGCGCATGGGCTTGTCTTCAAAAGAACCGTTGTTTAAAAATGTTTAATCCACTTTAGTTACTATTTTGTATTGATCCCTGCGTGTGTTTTGTTTGCACTGTTTTATTGACATCCTCATAAACAATTTGTTTTTCTTTAACTTAAAGTTTAAGTTAATTAACATAGATGAAATTTATCAAGAATAAACCTTTATTAGGCGTTTCAAATTAGTCAAATAAAATTATGCAGTTTTTTTTTTTTAAAAAGAAGCCCTTTTTTTTTAGCTTAAGATTTTTTGAAATTCATTAAAAAAGTAAACAGTGCAACAGAAACAAATACCCCAGGGAGAATTTACATTATCTATAACTATTCACGTAAGTAAAAAAACTCTTGACAACCACTTTGTAAACAAATTCAAGTTTTGTTTTGAAAAGCATTTTCAAAATTTACAAGGATAATATTTACATCGTTACAGCTAAATTTGTAAAACTATAAATACCAGTTTTAAACTATAGTACGGTATAAAGAAAAATTTAATATTTGCACAGGTTTATCCGATATTAGTCTGTAATGACTAATTGTAAACCAGCAAGCCATTTATGAGTTTCAAAAGCATCCAAGCCTTAAATATTTTTCATAAATATAAAATCAATGAGTTGGGGAATCTCATATAGTCAACTAAAACCTTTTTTTATATAGTTTCACATTACTTTTTCAACTCGTTTTTCTAATAGGCTGCAATCTGTAATAATTTGAAAAATAAATTATAAATCATTTTAGTAAAAAGTTCTTTTTATCTTTAGATTTTTTTTAATGAATTAAAACGTCTCTAAACTTTTGTATCATTTTTAAATTTTCCTTATAAATTAAAACGACGAATAAATGAAAACTGATCTATTCTTTTTGGTAAACCAAAAAAAATAGGTTTTCAAAAAACTGCTTTATTTTGTCTTAATTATTAATTTTAAAAAATCCATTATGTTAATTATTTTATTTGTTTTGGTATGTATATTATTTTGTTCGCAATAAAAACATTTGTTTTGGAAACACGCAGCGTTGTTTAAGAAAGCAGTTTTTGATTTTTTAGTTTAGAAAATCAATATACAAACAAAAGGAAATAGGTTTGTACGTTGTGGTACGTGAGCGTTGTAAGTAGTTTATACTCTTTTATCTCTACGATTTAAACAAATATAACTAATGTTGTTTAAAATTATTTTAAAGCTTTTTTTTGCACAAACGCTGCATGTGACATGTGACGTTATTAAACACAATTTTTCAAACTTAGACCGACCAAATTCCTTATTAATTAACTTACTTTTGACTAGTTAATGCCGTTTAGAAAATATTAACAATTTTAAAGTTTATTGAGTAAACTAAATATTTGTTTGTTGTTTAATATTTAGCACCTGGATGCTAAATCTTACATTGATAGTGTCATCATTGTTTTGTAAACTTTTATCTTAAATTGTTTACTAAAAAGTAATCTAAAAATATATAAAGCTCTTATTGCAAAGTGCTTAATTTTATAAATACTTGGTTAGCTTTCTTGTACTTCTTTTGTTGTTGTTTAAACTTTTAAAACAACCAAACAAGCAACTAGAAAGTAAAACTGCACGTAACCAAAATTTAAAAAATGTCATTCCTGAGATAAACCCTTTTCTAAAAGAAAAGGGGAAGTTCTTCTTTAAAAGCCGAGGTTCTGCGTTAGACGTTCAGGTTATTAGTCTTTTAAATTATATTAGCTTTTAAAAATATAAAAATTTGTTGAGGTTTATGTTTTGGGTGTCTAAATTTTTATGCGGTTGTCTAGTTAAAAGTCATGTGGGTTGTTTAGTTGAAGTTTATGTTCGGTTTTTAGTAAGAAGTCACAGCAATCAAAAAAAATATTTGAAAACTATATAGTTTCCTTTTTTTTAAATCTTTTACTTAAGTTGCCGCAATCGCAACAGCTTTTTAAAGCTATAAATAGACCAAACTAATTATAATAAGCTATCACCGTTAAGATATTTGTTTTCTAAAATGTGCTTTTTTGATTTCCGAATCCTTTAAATTTTTTGAAGCCTTAGGCTCTCCTCAAATCTTTGATAAAGAAATATCTCACGTAATTTAAATGAAATACTTTTAGCTACCGGATATAACATTTTTTTAATTTTAACAAAATTAAATTAAAGAGATATACTCTCGCGGATTCTTTTTTTAGGTTTGGGGTTTATTCTATGAATAAACCCCAAACCTAAAAAAGAATTTATACATGAAGCAGAAATTTTGTTATTCCAAGATCTTATTTAAAACTCAATTCATTTCAAATTCAATACCGGGGACCATTTATATGGAAAGGTTTTTTAAAAAATATAATTAAAAATAAAATTCTTTGAGGCATCTCCTTAGAACAATTCAAAAGAAAATCTAAACGTTTTCTATTAGAAAAAACTTTCGATTTTAAAGATTTCTTCTAAAATCACTTAAAATAATTAAACCTGAAAAAGTCATCACTACTCATTTACTATTGTCTTGTGTATCTTGTTTATTTCTTATTAAAATAAAAAATATATATACTATTAATTTTGAACAGACAAATAACATTTATTCGATTTATTACTTGTGTCTTATATTTGTCGAACTAATATTGTATTGTACTTCAATTTTTAACCTTTTAGTTTTTAACTTGTAACTTTGTGACGTTAATGTAAACGGGGCTTGGCGATAAGACAGTTTATGTCTTCTTCTTGCTCCGGCCAATTTTATACATGAATGGTTTTTTCTCATTGTAAATTTAATTATACGGCAAAGAAAATATAATAATAATAATAATAATAATAATAATAAGTTAGAGGCAGGTTGTTTCTATTTACAATTAAGCAATAGAAAAGCATAACAATAGTATATTTTACAATCGAACTATTTTAAAATAAATATTTTAAATATTATATACAAAATGTTTTGTTTTTTAACTTTAAAGACATGTATATATCTTTTAAATCAGTTTGTTGAAAAATTATTTTCTAAAAAAGCTACAAGTTGGCAGAGATATTATGCAATGTACTTGATGTACGTAATGTAGGTATACATTATAGCAAAAAAAAAAACACACAATTCTCTGCAGGCATCCTAATTGAGCAACCACGCTTGATAATTTAATATACGCGTCCGGAGAAACTACGTTCTGTAATTATACAATGTATAAATAATAAACTTATAAAAAAAATTTAATTTCAAAATAACTAAAAGACATGGTTTAATAAAAATAAATATAATTCTTTTACGATCTCTATTAGCGTGTAAATAAATTCATAAAAGTGGTTGCATCTGATGCAACAATCTTACTCTAATTTACAAACTACATATATAATTTAAATTATTTATAAATAAATAATCCCTTCTAAGGGTCATTGGAACACAATACAGGGAGCGCAAGTAATGAGCTGAAATTTTTAAAACATTGGTACTACAGTATCAGTATTCGGTAATTGTGTTTTTTCTGTATGACACGGACCTTTGAAAATAACAAATTTCTTCTAAAAGACTGGGCTGATCATTTTCTACTGAATGAAAGTTTTCAATTATTCTTTCTTTACGTTTCCCTGTTTTAGGAACTGAAACTGAAGTTCTTGAAAGTATGTTTTCTGTTTTTGACTGAAAAAAGGATTCAGAATAAAATAGTTGTTTATCAATTACACGACAACACGGTCTAAACAAAACTTTATAAAACTTTCGAAATCTATTATTTATTCCATATAATATTGGGTTAAGAACAGAGTTTGTGTAAGTCAACCAATAACAAATAGTCGACCAAGTTCCACTCACAGAAACCTTATCAAATGCCTTGCATAGCCAGACAATTTGGTTTGGAATCATGCAAATTGCAAAAAGAAAAACAATAATTAAAAAAAGTTTGAATATTGATACAGTCTGTTTCTGCCTTTTTTGAGAATTACTACTTTTATATCTTGAGCCCATCACTGTTTTTCCGTATGCTCTCAATTTTATAAACAAATTTGTGTTAATACTGTTCCCTGAAAGTTTTAGACGGTTGTTGTTAAACGATGAGTATTGTTTTTCCGAAATTTTTATAAATTCATCGTTTTGCTTTTTAATTTCTATAATCGCAACTATATAAAAGGCTGACATAACAGGTAATGGTATGCCATACTGTATAACAAACATAGATACAGTATAGATTGAACTTATTTGTTTTGACCATTTTTCTTCGCACTGTGGTAAATTATCATGTTCAACAATATGTAAATTGATTGCATAAGGAATAACTGATGCAATCGATATCAAATGAAATATCCAAATAATCATCTTTGAAAACTTTTTTAGTTGAATATATTTAAATGGATATTTTATTGCTATGAATCTTTCGAAAGATAAAAACAGCAGTGTCTCTGTCACAGATATTAATGCCCATGTTGCTAATGGATACATAATATAGCATCCGTAAGAACCGAGCGGAAAATACCCGATATTAATTTCAATAACTTGAAGTGGTATTGACGTAACGACTAAAAAAAAGTTACAAAATGCAAGATTGCAAACCAAATATTCGGATAATCCCAAGTGTTTCCTTTTGGATCGTAAAACTGATACTAAGAAAATGCCATTACCAAAAATCGCTAATACAGCAATACTGATAAAAACTACATTTTGAACTTTCAATGGAATGCTGTTATCTTCTGCAAACAAACTTGAATTGTTCATAGCGCCTTCATCTAAACGAAGTATTTTTTCCCATAAAAACTTGTCAACGAGAAGCGTATTCTTATTAGTGTACTTTAAAACGTATTTTTATTTTAAGGTAATTTGTATTTATGTAAGTTGACTTTTGTCTAATTCATTCACAAACAAACATGTCAGTCGAACTTATCCGTATTCAAACAAAAAAAAAATTATTTATTTTTGAATTAAGGATCTTTTATTTACAATAAATAATAAATAGATAGTAATACAAAGTTAAAATTGCGGAAATAAACAGGAAGTAAAAAAGTCAAGTATCAGTAAACTTTTTTTTTCAAATGTCAAATGTAAAAATGAGAAAAGCCAAGGATTTTATAAAATTGTAAAGAAAAATATTTATTATTCAAGAAGTATTAAAACAAACAACATTTAGATACACACACTCTAGCTACATATATTTTGGTTACATTCATACACATTGGTTACATGTATTTACTTTAAATAAGCATATTTATGTTTTTATAAGAAATTAAAGTAATTTTTGACTAAAATAGAGCTTAGAGAACATACCGATTTTTGCAATAAAAAATCTTTTTGTTGCAAACTACATTAAAGAAAATTTATTCCAAAAAAAAGCGATTAGGTAATATTCGAAACTCTTTCATTACTATATTGAGAAATATAGTAAATTTATTAAATAATAAGTCATAAACCCATAGTTCTTTTTACTCTTTTTTTTTTTTTTTAAAAGTCTTAATTACTTCCTTTTTTAAAACTCATTATACAAATATATATATATATATATATATATATATATATATATATATATATATATATATATATATATATATATATATATATTGAATATGCAAATTGTACAATTGATTAAAAGCTAATGTTTTTATAAAAGGTATCGAAGAATACCGAAAGGTCAGTTAATCTTATTGAACAAACTTTTACCGCAAATAAAATCAAAACAAAAAAAGATGAAAAAGAACGGCAAAATTTAAAAAATATTTCTTATTAATGAAAGTTAAACTCATTAATATTTAAAAATTATTCATTATAAAAAACTTATTAAAATCAATCTTCTTAATTAATTATAAAAACATTAGGGGTCGTTTTTCCAACGGACTTTAATGTCAGGAGTGATTTGAAAGTAAATGGGGATTAAAATAAAAGTACAAAAAACAAACACACATTGACTTCTCTGGCAGGTGTTTAAATCAATTTCCCTCCATAGGAAGTTCTCATTTTCCCTATTAAAGTGTTATATATATATATATATATTATATATATATATATATATATATATATATATATATATATATATATATATATATATATATATATATATATATATATATATATATATATATGTTTGTTTATAATAATAATATTTAATTATAAAAATAATAATAAATAATGCAACAATTATATAATTTTTAATATTTTTAAACTACTGAAAAAGCTATAAATAAAATGAACTGATGTTAATAAATCACGAAATTTACCTTTTTTATTCATTTAAAAAATACCATTTAAATTGAGTTGTTCAAGTGAACAACTGATTTTTATAAACTTTTTAAACTTTTTTTTTTAAACGTTTTGCATATCTATTTTATATATGTGTGTTTTTAATGTTTAAAGCATCTATAAAATTTTAAACCTTTTGAGCTTTGCCAACATCACCTTAATTACACACAATTGCCGCTATCCTATTCCACTTATGTTAAAGTACTTCACACGTGTTATAAAATTAGGTTTGTCTTAAAACTCATTCTTTTCAAAGCAGAAGATGGAATCTCAGACAAAAAATTTTAAAAACTAAAATCAGAAACGTGCAGATGAATCAACGTGTATAGTTATCAAAAAATTATTAAATTAAAAAAACAGCGATTAAAAATTATAAATTACTATAATTACCATAAACATAAAACATAAAAGTTGTAAACTTTATTAGTTAATATAAATATTATTAATTATAATAATTAAAATTTATAAAAAATTATAAAAATGTTTTTTGAATGCTAAAAATAACTACAAAGAATGGCAAAAAATTAAGAAACAAAGTACACAAAGATAAAATAAAATTAAATAAAAATGATTATCCATAAATCCAATAAAAAGTTTCTAATTGTTTCCAATAAAAAAATGCCTACAAATTATCATATTATTGGCTATTTCTATTTCAGATAATTGACTCCGCCTTGTAAAATTACTTTCATTAAAGTGTCAGTTTTTTTGCCAGAATAATTGAACAGTTTTTGATACAACTATATAAAGTTTTACTCTAAATTTACTGCAGTTAAACATTTATCCACTTAAAACAAAAAGACATCTTTTTTCTAATGAATCATATTGTTGAATGGAAGTTTAATGAATGAAACAAACCAACTTCACGAGAACGACAAGTAACAGTCAAATAAGGGTAAGCTTAACAAATGACAGGTATGGAAAATAAATGTACCACTTACTTTTTTTCTGAAAAATACAAAATATTCTGAGTAAAAAATTTTAATTTACAAGTTAGAATTTTTAAAATAAGTTTTTAAAATAATCTTTAGAAAATTTCACATAATTATCTGCACGTTTGTGTTTTATATACCGCATACATATTAATACGTAACGTCTCAAAGCAGTTTACATAAAAAGATTTCTTGAACAATTTTACGTTTACTTGTTGCATTAAACCTTTTTTAATTTTTTTCTTCGCGTTTCAGTGATAAATTTCTATTGTCCTTGAAATATTTTATGCAACTGCATTGAGCTACGCGTTATGCTGTTTATAAATAAGTGTATATTTGTAGAAGGTAACACACGCAGTTATATTTAATGACGTTGTAAAGTTTATGTTATAAATATTAAGAAATATGTAAAATATAAGGAAAACGTAACTGAAAAATCAATAAAAAAAAATTTTCAAAAGTAAAAACAACATTAGAAATGCCCACTCGTAAAAATAAATAATTGCTCGGCGTCGGTCGCACATTTAAAAAATCATCAATGGATGACAAAAAAAAAAAGGCTTTGTAACTTGGTAAAAAAAGAAGGTATAAATAACTCATTTTTAGCTATTTTACTTATGTTCAATGAAGCTTCAGTTTGTTTTTTTTATCAATAACTTCAAATCTTGTTTGTAAATATAAAATACTGTTGATAATTTATTTGGCTATTCACCTGACTTAAAAACTGTCAAAATGAGAAAATCCTTTAAATTTATGGAGGGGCTTCTAATGCTTTATACATTATCAAAGTTTCGTTAAAATACTTTGTCTCCAACTAATTCTGTTGAATTAAATACAAAAATTTCAGTATTTAATTATATATATACATATATATATATATATATATATATATATATATATATATATATATATATATATATATATATATATATATATACACTGAAATAATTATATATATATATATATATATATAATATATATATATATATATATATATATATATATATATACACATATATATATATATATATATATATATATATATATATATATATATATATATATATATATATATATATATATATATATATATATATATATATATACTGAAATAATTATATATAAATATATATATATATATTGAAATAATTATAACTCCATATATATATATATATATATATATATATATATATATATATATATATATATATATATATATATATACGGAAATAATACTGAATACTTGTTTTCTTAATAAAATAATAAAAATAAAGAAGTCTTGCAAAGTTTTTTATAAATAAATTTTGTAACATTCATTTATTGAACTTTGAAGCAAATAAAAATTTATCAATGGTGAAAAATTTATCTAACATTGTTTGATGTTACCTCTGATGTCAAAAATGACGTCTTATAAAGTCTTGCTAAAAACTTTAAATTATAATATTACTATATATAAAACAAATGCATCACACATTGAGATGAGACAAGTTGCATATTGCAAAATTTAGTTTTTTATTTAAATAGAGCTACAATTTTATAACTTTAATTTTAATTGAAAAATTTTGATTTTATTATTTTTAGTGACCATTCGATAAATATTTAGTTTTTATTAATTTTCATATTTGATGAACTTTCATTTTTTAAATGTGCTTTCAATGACTGACTATTTGTCGCGTGAAAATTTTTTTGAATTTCCTATGCAACGACATTAAAAAAAAAACGCTATCTTAACTGACAAAAGTAATGTCGGACTAATTTAGCTGGATTTATTAAGCGTTTTATTAAACATCTATCGTAACCATATTAACTAAGAAAATAAATATAATCATGTTTACTATGTAATGATAAGTTCTTTATCACATTTAAAATAATTTAGTCATAGCTTTGGCTGTTGCTCTAAAAACGACAACTAAGACATTCTTATATATGCTTAATGTAAATCCGTTGCTGAAAATTTGAAGGAAGAGGATGCGATGGTTTAAAAACAAACCTATACAAAAAATAAATTTTTTGTTTGTGTTTTGTATATAATTACTTGGCTAAATTGTTTAAAAACTTTTTATTCCCAAACTTAGAGTGAAATAGTGACAAGTGAATTAACCTTCTTATAAAAATTTATTTGTCCAACTAAATCATACTTTTTATAGAGTTTTTTTTTAGTGTGTGTTTTTTTCTTCTTTTATTACAATATTGTGATTGTAAGTAAAAAATTGGTTTGTTAACAATATTAACAACTCACAAATTTTATATATTTAACAGTATACAAAATAATTTACCTTAAACTTAAATAATTTTTAAAAATATATTTTATAGTATACAAATAAATTACCGCAAAGTATCACTATTGTGAGAAGTACTCGGAAGCTTGCAGAAGACCAGATGGTCTTGTCATCAAGAAACCGTTTTTTAAAAATGCTTTAAAATGTTTTAAACTTTTAATTATTTTTCAGAGTTTTATTGAAGTTTTCGAAAACTGTTTCATGTTAAAAATACGGAAAAGATTGATCCTGTTTTAAATATTTATAAAAATAACTTTATTTTAAATATTTATAAAAATTTATTTTAATGTTTGAAAAGTTTACATGGTTATTGCATTCTAATTTTTTTTTTCAGAATATGCATGGTTGGTATGTTATCAATTCGATTGATTGATGTTATAAATTCGATTGATTGAGGTTATAAATTTGATTGAGATTATAAAATAAATGTTATTTTTTTTCTCAGATTAATTTAGAAAAGGTTCGCGCATATTCTTTAACGATAGTTTTTATTGGTGTTTGTAGCTTTTATTAATGTTTGTAAAAAATAAATTTTTTAATAGTAAACTATAAATTTTTTTTTATCTTTATATTTATGTCAAATAAATATGTTTTGTAAGATAGAAAAACAGAACCTTAAGTATTAGCCGCACCCGACCCAATGTTACAGCAATTAGTTTTTTTCACTAACCTTTAGCTGATTTTATAGTTATTAAATGCTTTCAAATTTCTTTAAATTTTAAGTGCTCTAAAATTATGTTTACGTACAATTATTATTATGCACCATATAAAATTTATAAACCTCATTTCTCTTAGGAGTCGGGATTTAAAATTTTTAATGGACTACAGGGCGTAACGAGTTTTGGTTTTATTTAGAAAAAGAATCATTTTAAATCTAATTTTCAAATAGCGTCAACGTTACCATTATTATTATTATTATTTTATTTCGCTTGTTATATTTTTTTAGATTGGGTCGGTTTTTTTGCTTTTTATTAGTTTTTATTTTTTTAGTTTGTTCTGTATGTAGATTTGTCACAGAACACCGCAGAAGAGCATTTGATACAGAAAAGATGTTGACAGAAAAGATGTGGCTTCAGTGGTGTGCCACCAAAATATTAAAAATTTGAAAAATATCTACAAATGTTGATAGAAAAAATTATGAATTAATTCTGTTTTGTTTTATTTTGTTTATAATTTAATTTGATTTTATAATTATTATTTTTAATGAATCAATTTAAAACACACAACTTAAAATATATTGATAAAGTATCATAAAAATATTTTACACATGTTCAAGGAATCCCAGCAAACATTGCTGTAGTGGATTTGTAGTGGATCTAGATAGACATTTTGGGCGCTTCATTGGGGTTTTACTCATCGTGTACTTAGTGGACCATCAGTGGTCCACTAAGTATCTATCTCTTTTTCAAGTTTTTAAATTATTTTTTGCTTTACAAACAAAATGAAACCATGTATTTTTTTAATAAATTGATTAAAACAATCAGCAAGATGTTAAAATAATAAAAACGTTGTTTTTTTTTTTTAAATAAAAAAGTTTAGCTTAAAAAAAAATGAAAAATGGTTAGGGATTTATTTTTTCCTTAATATAATAATCATAACCGAGGTTACTTTAAACAAAGAAAAAAGAAACATAATTCACTCAAACAATGTTATTAAAAACACATTACTAAATGATTTTTTAAGGAAAAATAAAAGAATATGATGTTATACAGCTTTACTGAGTTTTTGTATATTTACAAAAAAAAGATACTTCCCATTAGTTTAAAAATACTTCAAAAAAATGTTCCTTAACTGAAATATTTTGTAATTGATGACAAGAATATTAAATAAACGATTTTGTTTTGACGATAACAAAAGCAACTTGCAACAACTTCCTGACCTCAAAACGAAAGTAAAGATGTAAGATTTTTGTTTAAATAAATCCTGAGCTTTAAATGAGATCAAAGATTTAAGATATTTGCTTAGTCAATTCCTGAGCTCTAAATATGTTGTTTTTTTATGTGAATGATAAGAGTATATAGGGAAATATCAGTAATATAATAATGATATAATATAAAAAAAATTTATTATAATGAAAATTATACATAGTAAACATTTTTCACATTGTTTGACATGTTAGTTGTCTTGATTATTAACTTCTTTAGGTTTGAGTTTTGCTTGTTACAAGTTAGATTTTATCACCATCAGAGCCGACAATACGGGGAAAGACTTTTTTTTTAAATAAAATTCTAGATATAGAGGACTTTTTTTTGAAATTTACGATTACATCCCCCCCCCCTTACTTCGAAACCCGTATCGTCGGCCATGACCACACTTACAAGTTAGTCCTTCGCCATCGTAGTTTTTATTGTTCTAAGTTTAATAAACTTAGTTTTAACTTTTTTAACTTAATATTAAACTTAGTCAAACTTAGTTGAAAACTGTCTTAATTTCACAAACTTTGCTTTAAAAATAATTTTTAACATTGACTTTTTTTTTACCACACTCATTAATACTGTCATCAAGCTGCCGTTAGGGTTGTTAATAACACTGTCATCAAGCTGTTGTTAGGGTTGTTAATAACACTGTCATCAAGCTGTTGTTAGGCTTGTTAATAACTGGCAGAAGTTTCAAAAAGAATAAAGAAATTTTTGGAAATTTTAATTAAATTATTGTTAAATAAAGCCTGGTATAAAATTTGCTCTAGGATTATTCATTACTAGATCAGTTAGTTTACCATAAAGGATGCACGCTCATCTTTATAGTAAATTACTATGGAAGTACATAAATAATCTTCACTGAGACACTTCTTTACGCTAGAATAAATAAAAAAAACCTTAATGCATCTACTACAGCAGGAGCAAATCAAAATATTTACTGCTACTATAGCTAGTACCTGTATTTATCAGCTCTCAGATTCACATTTTTTTATCATTCAAATTAGTAAAAAAATCAGAGTTAGAATTCGTGAGAAACGAAATTGTTTGTCTCTATAAAAATAAATTTACTACAACTAAAATTCTCAATTATTTAAAACATCACAAGTTGGTGCAAGTGGCCTTAAGTTGGTATATCGTGCCATAAAACGTTTTATGGAAACTGGAGATGAAATTCCACCAAAAAGTACAGGGAGAAAAAGAGTGGTTCGTACTAAAAAATTCATAAAGGTTATTCGTGAAAGAATTAGACGAAATCCTACTTGATCAAAAAGATCAACTACAAAAAAATTTAGAACCGATTCAAAAACCATCAGAAATTTGATTAAAACAGACTAAGGAATGAAGGCTTATAAAAAAAAAAAATTATCTGCTGATCTGACAAACAGAAAGCATAACAGATTTTTAATATTTATAAACTTTTATTTGTTCTACGTTTCTTTATAATTTTTTTTTTCCAGAGTCATCCCTAATATTGGTTATGTTTTTATATACAATATAGGAAGTAGAGACTTTGTTAATAGTCTCAACCATAGATTATGTCATGTAAAACATCATTTTATCTGGTTTGTTATAATTATATAAGCGCGGTATAAATATTTATATAAAAAATGGTTTAAAAGAAAAATTAAAAGAGAACTAAATAGTGAAAAAGTTTCAACTTTTTTTCAAAAGTGACCAATTAAATAAGTGGTTTCAAGACTTACAGGACTGATCTAATTTAGACTTAATACTCTAATTTAGACTTAATTCTCACTGATTTTTTACTTTTCAACTTTGATGTTGATTAAAAAAACTATCTTTCTACTTTTTTTGTTAAAACCAGTAAAAGTAGAAAGCAAATGCAAAGTTAAAATTTTTATATTTTCACTGCAAATCTTTTTACTGATTGCTTATTTAAGATTTTTTGGAAAACCATAACTCTCTTCAAATATAGCAGAATATATAAAAAAAACTTTTTTTTATTGGTACTGGTAACTTTACTAGCAAATTTGATTAGGCTTTTTTATTACCACCTTACTAATGCCTGTAGTTTGCATCAGACTACAAAGATAAAAAAAAAGAACTTGCAGTTTGCATCAGATTAATATGAATTTTGAATATATAGAAAAGAATCCGTTTGATTCACTATTTTAAAGCTATTATTTGGCATACAAAAAAACATATTAACTACACGATTGTATTTCATTTATGTATTGCTTATCTTCGGGTATAGCGCAACACCGCGTAACTAGCATTGGATAATATGGCGTATCTACACTAGCATTGGATAATATGGCGTAACTAGCATTGGATAATATGGCGTAACTAGCATTGGATAATATGGCGTAACTAGCATTGGATAATATGGCGTAACTAGCATTGGATAATATGGCGTATCTACACTACAGATTTTTTTCTGGAGAACGTTAAAACTTTTTTTTTTTATTTCAACAGATTTTGGGCTCATTTTAGTATAAAGAGTATTATTCATGTATTTTGTAATGTCAACAATAGGTATTTGGTGTTAAAATTAATAATATCCAATTATAGTAGCTAGTTACGCGGTATTGCACTATTCCCAAAACTTGTAAATATAAATATACCCGACGATATATTAATATTTACAACTTTTTTTTTTAGTAATATTGATTTCTTTTTTGTTACAAATATTTTTAAACTTAAAACGTTAATTAATTACGTAAATTTCCCATCGTTTTTTATTTGATATTAAGAAATTTAATTTTTATTCGATATCAAGAAACTTCATTTGATATTAAGAAATTTAAACCAAATATGAAAAAGTTAAAACGTTTTGAATTTTGATTGCACACATTTTATTAAAATGTAGAATTATAACTTTTAAAATTATAACCGATTACAATTAACGCAATTGCAAGAAATAAATCCAGTTTGTGAGTTGTCATTGCATGTATATAAAGTTAAAATTGTTTGATTTGATTTTACCCAAATAATAACAGAGAGCCAACTTTGATTAAAGTTAAATATTTAAAACTAAACCTTTGTTTAATTTTTAATCCAAGTTAAATTAAAAAAGAAAAAAGGTAAATATTAGGCAACAAAATTAAAAGAAACAAATTAAGCAAAAACCTCTATATAAAGGTATATAACCTATATAAACCAAAATTGATAAGGTTAATTCTATAAAGGTATATAACATAAATAAACCTTTAGTTGAGTTATTAAATTCTTTTAACAGATAAATAATAGCATCTTTTAAAAACGGCAAAACAATTAGCTAACTATTTAAATAAGAAATTTAATATATAAAAATTAACATTTTAACAAGATTTAATTGTGAGAGAACTAACAAAAGCAAATTAATTTAATATAATCTGTTTACTATGATGCATTGCGGCGTATTTAATATTATGTGTTTAAAATGATGCATTGTGATATATTTAGCAATACATTACTAAAAGTTTGTTTACAGCAATGTTTTATTTGCAGTATAAATCTGTATTCAACTTAAGTTTTATTTTTAGTATAAACCTGTTTTCATCATGCATTTTCATATATATATATATATATATATATATATATATATATATATATATATATATATATATATATATATATATATATATATATATATATATATATATATATATATATATATATATATATATATATATATATATATATATATATATATATATATATATATATATATATTTATATTTATATTTATATATATATATATAAACTAAAGCTTTGCATCTAGCGGTAGTTTATACAATCCATTAACAGAAAAATCAAAAAAGTTTTTAAAGATGGTAAGGATAAGCAGAAAATGTTTAACCAAAGTAAAAGAAGTTGATAACATAATAAATTATGCCACAATTGTTCAATATAATTAAATGGATTTCCGTGATAAAACGAGTTAAAACGAATAGAAAGCTTTGATAAGATCGAATATAGAAATGAGGAAAATAGATCGAGTTTAAAAATACTGCGGTTAATGCAGTTAGTACTGAGACTTTAAGTAATTTATAAGATTTGGTAAAGGCTAATATTGTTTTAGAATTAGTTCTTTTTTTATTGCTGGAAAAAAACAAAATATATATAGCTAAAGATAAATTTATCTCAGAATGTCAATATATTAGGTAAACAAACATGAGTCTGTTTCTTATATTATTTTTAAAGATAAAGAAAGTTTTTATATTCTAGTTGTTAAGGAAGTTTGACTAATGAATTTAATAAATATCTCAATTATGTATTTTTGTAAGT